CACGTGAGAAGCCAATGCCAAACACCACGTGCCGGTCTGCACTAGAGCCACCCACAAACCCACCTGGCTTTTTGGCAGGGGGTTTCTCATCCTCCTCGCTGGAGCTGTCACTGCTGCTGGCAGACGGCTTCCTCTTGGCCTGGGCGCCGTTCGGGACCAGCTTTCTCTTCTTGGCCGCCGGAGACCTGCGGGCAGAAAGGCTGAGCGGGGCCCTGCGGGGCGCGGGCCAGGCTGGGGGACACCCGCATCCCGAGGGGACTTACCGCAGCCAGTAGGCGAAGATGTCCAGGAGGGAGGCCGCGTTGGGGTCCTGCTCCTTCTAAAGGGAGAGAGACCGCATCAGCCAGTGTCAGTCAGTCGGTCGGTCGGTCAGTCGGTCGGTCAGTGAGTGAGCCCCGTCCCGTCCCGTCCCGTCCCGTCCCGTCCCGTCCCGTCCCTCCCCTCCCCGCTCACCGCCGCCGCCTCCCTGGCGAAGGCGCGCGCGGCACCCTGGCAGCCGCTCTCCCGCAGGAACGCGAGCACGAGTGGGAACAGGTCACTGGGCACGGGCCGCCGCTCCGCCATGTTGCCCACGCCGACACGTGCCGCGCGCGCACACGCCAACGCCTGCGTGCCCCCGTGCGTGCCTGCGTACATACGTACGTACGTGCGTGCGTGCGCACCGTTGGGGCCACGCCCATACCGCTGCCGGGGTGCCCGTGCCATTCTGCTTTGGGGCTCGTTGGTGGCTCGGACGGAGCTTGGGCAGGGACCTTCCTGTTGTGAGGGGATGAGGAAAGGCCTCCTCAGTGCTGGTGCCTGCGTCAAGGCTAACGCGCAGTGCCGAGCGGCTGCTTGTGGACTAAAGGCTGGAGAGAGGCTGGAAACCCGGGAGTGCCCACTCGACTCAGGAAGCGGGAAAACTAAGCCTTAAGTCCACTTAAGCCTCACCAGTTTATTCCTACTTATAATCCGTTTTAAAACACTGAAAGGAGAATGCTGGGGAATGGGAGAGCAGGAGTTAGGTTGTTCTAGGGAGCAGAACAAGCTGAGGGCTGTGGGCAGCCTGGAAGCTGGCAGAGTCCTCACCCGCACGGCCCAGCCCGGCATAGCCCCGCCCGGCTAAAAGGCGGTAGGCGGCGCGCTGGCTACTGCTAATGGGATTCACCGGTACCCTCGGGAAAGATGGGCTGTGAAGCAGTTGAACCCGTACAGGAACGTAGTGAATACTCGTACTAAATCCATACAAGAATAAAGGAAGTTGGTAAAAGCAACACCATGATCCTAAAGCGGCAACCTATAAGAGAGAGAAAGAAAAGGAATTTGAGACAAGGCTAGCTACAATATAGGCTTGAAGGGCTTCAAGGCTGGAGATAGGGTATGAAACAGGTATAGCTCAAGTAAGTGCTGAAGACCCGGACCTGATCCTAAATGGAGTTTCTGGACCTCTGGAAAAGGGTGGATGTGGAAGCCCTACATGAGGCTGAGCTTAGACGGGGACAAGCTTAGCGTGTTAGTGTGCTCGGAACCCTGATGAGGATGAGAGTTCATCCACCTGTTGTATATTGCTGTGACTTTAGTTACTTTTCCAGGGAAGTTTTCTTCCTGTAAAACTGCAGGTTTGCTCTGTTGGATGTAGCGCTCTATTCCTGCCTTTGTGGTGGATGGCGCATTTCTTGATTTTCTTCAATAGAGTGTACTATAAAGCTTGCTAAGGCCCAAGAAAAGAGAGAGTCCTGTGCTTGAAGTCTAGGTTTAGGGCTGCCAGGGTGAAAAAAAATAGTGGTAGGTAGGCAGTGTTTTGCTTTTTACGTTTCCCCTACCTAGCCCTCTGCACTTAACTCTTTCCAAATATTGCTCTTCTGTGGTGTGTGGGTTTTCTGTGCCTCGGTGCCTAATTAACACACATAATTAGGTGGGCTCTGTTCTCAGCAAAGCATGCCTGTTGCTGGTGTTTCTGGAAGGCTCCATGTTTGCACTCATGGGGAAGCAGAAGTCAACTCTTGTGGTGTTTTGTACTGTAAGATTCTGTCATTTTGTACAGGTACTGTAGTCTGTGTAGCAGAAAAGGGGTGTTCAGCTGAGGCTTATTTAGATACGTTTACTTGCTTTTGAGATGCCTTGCCCCTTTTATGTATGGAATAACATGGGGCTGTGTTGCAGAAAGGAAACTGTTTGCAGGCACTAATATTTCTTAACTTTTGTAGTTTCCCTCTACAGTAGCCTACAGCTACAAGCTTCATCTGCAAAGCTCAGCAAACTTGTGCTTTTGCCTGCATTGGAAAGGAAAAGATGCAGCTTTTGCTGGTAAACTGTTGTTATTTTAAGCCCTGCAGTGTGAAGTAACTGCTGTGAGGAACCAGGGAAATGACTATTTGCTTTACTGGCTCACTTTGCTTCTCTGGTTAATAAGTATCTCCCTCTCCTGCCTGGCCTTTGCCAGTGAGGTCTGTGCTGTGTGGCTCTCTAGGTGTGTTCCCCTGTCTTTTGCTTGCAGCTGTCCAGATGACCTGGCAGGGAAAGCCGTTTTGTCACTGAATTCCCCAAGACAGTAGTGGGAGATCCTGGGATCTAAAAAGCAAGCTAATTCATCTGATTTATATGCTACTGCTTGTGAATTCCTTTGTTCCCCTCACCTACTCCTCATAAGTCTTTTCAGTCCTCTCCTTGGCTCCCATATTTCTTCTGTTAAGACTGCAGGGAGAGCTATGCATGGGATCTTTTTAGTATTACAGTGACTAAACTGCCTCCAGCACCCAAGGTGAGGCTGCCCCAGTACAGAGCAGAGTGGGACCATCCCCTCCCTTGCCCAGTTGGTCATGCTGTCCCTGATGCCCCCAAGGACATGGTTGGCCCTCCTGGCTGCCTGACATTTGACTTGCCATCGACCAGGATCCCCAGTTCTGTTTCTGCAGCACTGCTTTCCAGCCTCTCATTTCCCAGCTCATCTAGAAGAGAACGCTTCTATGAGAGGTCTCAGGCCCTTCTTCTCTTTTCCTGACCAAGAAAAAAGTGAAGACACATAGCATGAGTATTCAAACACTCAATCCTTTCCATGTTACTGCTTGTAAGTACCTAGCAAAAAAAGCATTGGCTCTAGAAAGAGCAAACTAGTCCTTTTCTTTGGACAGGGATAAGATAGACCCTTGAGAATAATGCTGCAAATGCAGCTGTGTTCGTATACTGCAATGAACTGAAGCGAGGAAAGATTTGCACAGTCAATTTTGGACAACATAGGATGAAATGCTCCCATATACCCTTTATATCCTTATTTCCGTTCTTTTTTTTTTTTTTTTTTTTTTTTTTTTTTTNTTTTTTTTTTTATTTCTTGAGGAGATTTATGTTTGTTAGGCCTTCCTACTGTTCCAGGGTGTGAAGAGGCTTTTGCCTCGATTTATCATCTGAGTTTTTAGTTGGGGGTTGCTGAAACATACTGTTGTTTCAGCAGTTCTTTTACTTAAGCTCGTTTGTGGAGGAATATTAATTTCATTTTAGAGAAGTTTAAATGCCAAAGAGGTTTCCTGTGGGCTTTGCATTGATTAAATAAAATGCAGAGTGTCCTAAGTGACACTGACAGACATGGAGAAGCCCTGTGGTTCCCTGGAAGCTGCCTCTGCTAACCCTCTCTATGATACTGCAAGGCTTTAAAGAGAGAGAATTTAAAAGCTCATTTCATAAGAGCATGTTGAAATTCTCATGTAATATCAGAGAGATTATTTTGTTTTTAACTTTATATACTGAAAGTTTGAAGATACACAGCTTAACAAGAGAAATAATGCGGAACAGTCATGAAGTCATACATGTGGTTATCCATCTATTAGTTCTTAATATATATATTTGCTGTTTCATAATAGTAAAATAATTTGCTTGGAGGCTCTTGCTTCCAACTAGTTAACTTTTGTCTTTCACATAAATCCCAGGTTGGTTCTGTATTTGCACACTTCTCCAGTGCTCATGTGTTCTTTATTCTATTGTATATTTTTGGGATGATTCAGAGGGGAAAGGTACGGTTTCTTCTTTGCATACCTGGAGTTACTCATCAGGAAGGCTCTATTATCAGGAAGTGCTTTTTGTCCTAATACTTCCCTATTGGGAGAACAAACACCCTTGTTTTGGAAGACAGTTTGTAAGCTTAAACTAGGTTTTAAGTAAAGAAAGATTTGGAGGTAACAAGAGAGTTTGCCCAACTTCTAAGAGCTTGTTAGTGGAAAATAGTTGATTCTTTTCTGCTTGTAACCACCTCTGTTCTAACATTAGTGGTGACATTAAGCTGCATACAGAATGTCCAATGACTTCTTGGGAATGACTGCCTCGACTGGGAAGCCAGATTGTAAGGGTCTGCTTTTGCTGTGCTGAAGTGCATCAATGAAAGACCTCACTGGTACAAGTGCTAAGTTTGCAAAGGAATAGGCTGAATAATTTAGACAGAATCTGTTGTTTTGTCTTCAGTGACAAAATCAGTAAGTTGAGTCCTACTCTCTGAACAATAACAATAACTGTCCTTCTGCTGCTTATTGTCTCTACTCAAACAGGAGCATAGTCTTACAGAAGCTGGTAAATCTCATTGGAAAGACAGCATCTTGTAGATGAAAACACAGAACATCGATCTACTTCATTCTGTAGAGAACAATTTGGCTTCCCCCTATGAGTTTTCCTTGCTTATAGGAGACCCGACAAAACCCAAGTTAGGGATGAATATAAAGCAAGCATCTGTTGTTCTTTTCCGCAGCTATTGCTCCAGGTTTCGCGAAACAACTGTAACACAACTTTTCCTCGTTGTAGCGCTGTTTCCTCGCTCACCTACGGAACGTGTGATAGGAGCCAGCTGGAAAAGGCTGTTTCCCTCCTCGGGGACGAGTCCCGCCGAGTGCCGGGCAGGAGCAGCCCCGAGCCCGGCTCTGCAGGGGGCGCCGCGGGCGGGAGGCGGGGCCGGGAGGAGCCCCGTGCCGTGTCCTGTGCTGTGTCCTGTGCCGGGGGCGAGGGAGCGGCCGCAGGGCGATGCGCCGCGTTGCTGTGCCGCCGGTGTGAGGGAAGGGGAGCGGCCCCTTCCCCGCCAGCCCTGGACCATGGCGGCCCCCGGTAGGTGCCGCGGCTGTCGTCCCGGGAGCCGCGGGGAAGCGGCGGGGCTTCTCCGCTCAGCCGGCGGGCCGGGGCTCTCCGCAGCTGCCCCGCGCCGAGGTGCCGGCGGCCAGCGGAGCGTGGCGGAGCCCTGCCCGCTTCCCGCTCCCCGCGGGGCGGTGCCGCTGCCCGGCTCTGCGCGCCCCTGGCGCTCCGCTGCGGGGGAAAGGGGAAGGGGGCTCTGCTCTCCGGGTTCAGGGAGCCCTGGCGCTCCTCTGAGCAACGGTGGTGCCTTTGCTCGTTAGCCGGCTGCAGCGCTTTCTTCTTGCCTTGCTTCACTTGTCTCGAGTTCGGGACAGCTGCTGGCAGAGCTTTCCTGCATCTTAAGTGCACTTCGGCTTGGCAGATCAGCGAGCTCTGAGGGAGGGTGTTCTGTAGAGTAATTTGCCCTTGTCTGCCTTTACCACTTGCGTGTTTTTCTATGATGTTTTCCAGAGAAGTCAGTTTTTCCTAAATACGGCTTCATCCTTCAGCACCACTTCCTTTTGGGCGTGGGACTTGGTGCCCCCTTGCCACAGTGGCACAGGATCACAAGCTGAGCTAGTTTGCTGTAATTGAAAATGTTTTAGCTAAAATATGTGCAGGTAAAACTACCTAGAATGGAGCTGAAAACTCAGGGGGAGACGGGTTTAGCCTGTATTATGCAAGTCTTGCAAATGCCCAATTTGCAAGTTCCTCTCCTTGCTGGGAAGCGAATGGGTTTTACCTAAAAAAGGAAAAAACGTGCCATTCTCGGAGTGTGAAGTAACATTTGCGTTTCATTGACGCGTATCTCCTTGTGGGGTAAAAATAAGCTAAATGCTGGCCTCAGGAGACTTGTGGGCAAAACTACTTTTCTCCTTATAAACAGAAGGTGATTTCACAGAGGCCTTTAAAAATTCACAACTTTAGATCAACGTATCGTAATGCAAATCTCTTGTTCCTCTCTGTGAAGTTTGGTTTGCAGAAATTTTATCTGCTTTGATTCTGCTATTTCCTCTTACTTGTTTGCAGCATTTTATTTAAAGTGAAAATTTTCTGTTCCAGTCGAAGTAAGAAGTCTCACTAGGATGTTAATAATTACTGCATGTGATCACTATTACCGTGCATTCCATGTATGCAGAGAATGCATTTATTTCATCATACATCACTTAAATACACACACTTCATATACTAAAATGTGGAAGGTGCTGACGATTTCTCTTAATGGCCCACCAGCAGTTTCTATCACCTCCTGGAAGTGCTCTCTCTTTTGAGAATTTGATTATTAAGACTCCTTGAGTTGCATTTCCTTTATACCATAGACAGTTGTCTTTCATGAAAAGTGAAGTCCCATCTATCAAGGATTGTTATTTTGGACAGCAATATTTTTGTATCCTCCATACACATGAATTGCAAAGCACACTGGAACAGGTTACATAATGCCTTTCTTATGTAGACAGAAGTGGAGATGGATTTTTTCTAGTAGAGGAAAATAAATTGTTTGCCACTTCATGTGATCCTCTGAGTTAGAGTGAAGGATTTAATCTCAGGTTTTTTGCGTATTCTGTGGACAGTGAGAAGTCATAACCTCCTTATGAGAGGTATGTGAAAGATACGGACACGGAAACGTTGTTTATTACTACAAATCTTGAATATTCTTTATGGGGTCTAAAAGTACAATGGAAAACTTAATGATCTTTAAAATGAAAATAGGTCAAACCTTTTGGGCTTATGGGATGAAATAATAGATAATAACAGCTGATACTGTAAGATGTAGGCTTACCCAGAGCTGATATGCCAGCTTCCCACAGTACTGTTTAGCTATTTCAGTGGCAATCAGAACCTTATGATATGGCCATAAACCACTATCATGTGTTTGGGCTGAACCTGAAGATTATCACCTTACTATTTGCAGACACAGTTTGGAGATGAGCCCGATTTGTTTGCTTCTCAGAGAGAGGGACTGTGAAGACATGACATGGTCATGCATACTTCTGTTCTCTTGCCATGAGTGTGTGAGATTTTTACTAAAGTGTTTCATCCTCTTCCATTCTGTGTGCATTTTGTAAGCTAGGGAAAGCTTTGTATCATGTTTTTGCTGTTTAATTTATGCAGCTTACACTTACAGGTCTTCGGCATTTCTGTGGTGCTGGTTTGTAATCTCTTCAGTCTGTTACTGTTGCTGTATAATGAAATGTGCAGCTGAACACTGAAGGGGCAGTTACAGCTGGAAAGCAGTCCAAAGGTTATGGTTTATCATTGCAAACAGCAACAGAACTGCACCTTCATGATTTTCTATGGAATAAATGGAAGTGCCCTGCAGTATTGTTATACTGCTGACATTTTGTAAACAGATGCAAAAGTATTTTTAATACTCTAAGCTTAGGAATCCAGTAACAAGGTATTGTTAAAATTTAAACTAGATCATACTTGAGAGTGTGAAAGATAGACTTGTGCCTGCCAACTGTTTTTCTTCATCTTATTATTGTATATAGTGTTCATATATTTCTTCCTTTAATTGAAGGCTTTTCCAAAACCAGCTTGTCAAAAACGTTGTCAAACCATCCATGTAAGGGTAAGGTTTAAGGAAATAAAATGTTTGGTGTTCACCAAAGGCTTCCCTATATGTGAAAAATAGGTAGAGTATGCATTATGTTTTGAACTGTGGTCAATGGGTTTTTCTGATGTTTGAAGAATTGTGAAAAACCTCCCTGAAGTGTTCTGTATTCTTTGTTTTTACACTGTTCCTTGAGGACTGGACAGTAGTTAGTGCTGCAAAGGCAGCGATTTGGTTAGACAAATAGTAGCATGATCCAGGAAGGAGAGTCCTGTGTCATTCTTCTTTTAAAGGGGAATGTTGCAATTGACGTTATTTCTAGATTTTTCGTTTTTGTATTTTTTTTTAAACAGTCACAATGCTGACTTAAGCTTATTTAGCTCTGCAAGACCCACTTCCAGTATTTTTGCTTATGAACATGGAGCATTACTTTGGCTGTACAAGTGGAGTCAGTAATTTTATTTCTCAGTTCTCATTTTAGGAACACTGTTCCTCAGTTTATTGCGTAAAAGGCTGTTGGAGCTGAGGTAAGGCCTGAGGGGAGAGCTGGTACAGCTCTGTTAAGGGGAACAGTGCTCTCCTAGAGCAGTGCTAGCTAGGAAATCAATACCTTTCCTAAACTCCAGAGGAAGTTCCTTCCTGTTGGATGCAAAGGTTGCATTGTTCTGGCAGGGAATTTGCAATGAGTCTGTCAAGTTTGCATCCTTTATCTACATGGCAGAGAAGGGAGGGATTCTTGGATACTCTGTGCCCCTGCAGTGCAAGGTTTTTTAAAGTCAAGGGCTCTTCCACCTTGTTTCCAAGCACAGCTGCTTTCTTTCAGTGAAAGCCTGGAGAAGGGCCTGTTGGCTCACAAGTATAGTTGTGGAAGCTGTGTTCTTCTGAAAGGGAATGACTGGATTAGTTGTTCCATTTTATGGAATGTTAACGTGCCCAGGAGGCCACTACTGATTTTTGCAGAGACTGGAGGTGGGGCTGCTGCCAGAGAGTGCCAGACTTCAAGAGCTTTGGGCACACCGCAGAGAGTCAGTGTGTGGTTTCCCCATCTGTTGAAGTCGAGCTCAGCTGGCCATGGTGCAATGCGTGGGTTCCATTCTCAGCAGACAGTTGTGCTGTCCTTTCCCACTGTACTGTGTGTAAATCAACCCAGGGCAGTGGAAGCAGAAGTCTGTGGTATGTTTCCCTTTCTAGAATAAAACTTGAATTCTGCTTGGTTTTCATGTGTTTGCTCACATAATTCTGTTTTTGCCAGGTGGTGTTCAGTGATATTTTGGCAATGGTGGTGTGCTCACTGGTGTGAAAGCCATCTTTTTTCACAGCAGTTCTGCACTCTTAGCTTAAAGATCCCAAAGTCTTGAATCCCAAGGACTCTGCTTTATGAGTTTGCTGGATCCTCTCCTATGGGAACGCTGTCTTCTACAAGCCTTCATCTGTGGTTCAGGAGCTGTATTCACTCACAGGCATGCAGCTGTCCTAGTGAATACGTCAGCACTGTACTGTCCCTGTTCTCCACAGCTGGGATATCATGCTTTCACTGCTAGAGATTTCCTTATTTATGCAGCTAACTGTAACAGTATCGGTCCAGCTGAGCGCATCTCCATTCTTCTCTAATCCTATCACTTCTCCTGAACTACAGTTTAAAGCTGTTAATTGTATGGATTAGGGCTGGGGTCTCTCAGCCTAGAAACATTGTTTCAGCCTTAATTTCTTAATGAAGGTTCTGGGGAAGCTGATAGAATAAAGTCTTTTATTCTATAGAATAAAATCTCTGCAGGCTGTGCAATTTTGGTTTACTTTTTCTAAGGTGACTGCAAAACTGTCAGCTTCAGTTCTGGTAAATTCACTCTGCAGATCCTCTTTTTGGCTGCCAAATTTTAGGCATTGCTCCACTTTAATTGGAAAAATTTGCCTTTGCTTGCTTCATGATGGAGAAGGGTTGAAAATGTTGACATTTCTAAAGAGTCAAACTGAAATTAGAAGACAATTTGTTAACAAGGTTTTAAATGCTCAGCTCTGAAATTTACTATGGACCTGAGCTGTAAACCTCAATTTTGAGTAAACTTCTTCACAGGTAAATTGAAAAATTACATTTAGACTTAAAAGTTTCCTTGAGATTGATGGGAGAGCACTGCATCATGTCACACTGATTCCATTTGCATCTACTCTTAGCAAGCTGTTAACATTTTAAAGTGCTTTTGTGCCAGAGCGCTGAAATTCATGAGTCTGTAGGTAGAAGCTGTCTCTAGAGAATTATGGAAGAAGTCAGCTCTGGTGAGCATATTTTGGACTGTCTTATGGCCACCACTACTGTATTAGCTCTTTCCTTCTGAAGAGTGTTTGTCATTCCAAAAATTGTTGGGAAAATTTTCTATGACAGTTTTGAGGATGGACTCTAACACGGCCTTGCGAAATGTCTGAAGTGCCTGTGGTGGGAGCAGTGGGGCTGATGTTCACTTAGTTGCATGCATACTTTGCAGGCAGTTTGCTTTCTGCTGCAATGAGAGCAAATATCTAACACCACGGGGCGGTAGTGACTTCCTGTAAGCATTGTGTGACCTCATTTAAATAAAAAACTTTGTTATTTTAGTTGTGCTGTTTAGTGTCTGTTCCACTTGGGCGTGTAATGATCTGCAGTTGTGTTGCAGAGACCCTATAATTGCCTAAAATTATTTTAACTTTTCATGTGAGAGCAAACTTCCCTTTTCAAGCTAGTTTTGAAGGTCTGGTTTTTGTGGCTTTTTTTTCCTATCAGAATGCTTTAAATCTATAAATCTCTGTGTAGTTTGTTTCACTTGAAACTACATAGGAAATGCTCTTCTTTATAGGAGGAGCATTTTAATTTTTTTCATTTTTAAGAATGAAAAAACTACTTAAATTTAGTGAAGTAGATGCAAGTAGGAGTTCATTCATCCTTAGAATTGCTTTGTGGTTGTGAATACCTCAATTTGGACAGAACTAGTGTTGTTTTGAAATTCTTTGTAGTTTCTGACAGGAATTAGACACAGTGCTGTGGGTGTTTTTTGTTGCAAAGCTGTGGGTCAGTTCATAGTTTGAATTTAATCCTTTTTCCTGTGATCATCTTGCACCTGTACAGGAGCCCCTGGAGAATATGATGTGCTGATTGTGTATGCAAGTGACGCCACTGAATGGTGTCAGTACCTCCAGAACCTCTTCCTCTTTACTCGCCACGTTCGAAAGCATCGGATTCTGAGCTACCAGCTGGAAGACGACTCTGCCATCTCCCAAGAGGAGCTGAACCTGTTCAGCAGAAGTCGGAGTATCGTCCTTTTGCTGTCTGCTGAGTTGGTGCAGAGTTTTTATGTTCCTCACATCCTGCTGAGCCTTCAGGAAGCTTTATGGCCCCCGTGCAAAATAGTCAAGCTGTTCTGTGGTGTTACAGACTGTGAAGACTTTTTGACTTTTTTCAAGGACTGGTCTCAGTGGCAAGAACTCACAAATGATGATGAGCCTGATGCTTACCTTGCAGCTGTCGAGAAGGCTATTTCAGAAGGTAAGACCATAGCTAGGAGCTGTGCTTTCTGATTGGAGGAAGGAGATACATGATACTGTTTATTCTTATTTTAAACTGGTAATGTGCTTTACTTAAAGAGAAAACTAAAGCAAATTGTCCAACCTTTGTAAACTAGGAAGTTATGCAAGCAAATTTTTCTATGCCTGGTTGGCTGATCCCTAATTCAGGAGAAATTACCAGCAACTCACAGAGAACTTCTGAATTTGAGATTGTCTTGGGTGCCTGCTTTTCAAGCAAATTGAAAATGAAAACTTTCATATTTTAAATTCTGCCTGTAAACATTGTACTCAGCAGTTTATTGACCCCAATCAATGGAAAATTGTCTTTTATTTATTTAGTTTAAGGAAAAGAATTCTCTTTTTCTTCAGACTTGTTTCTGTCATACCAGAACAAAATAAAGCCTAATATTCATTCTCTGGCACTGGGCCTAAGTTACCGTACTGACAACAGTTCATTTTTTCAGCTATGATTTAAAGGCAGAGATTAATTAAAGAACTGCACTGATAGCCTTAAAGAAAACCCAACCAGTCTGAAAGTGATCACCCTGTAACTAGGGAAGAGGACTTACTAGCACAGAAGTATTAACAGCTGGAGACTACACAAGCCCAATCTACTGAGTGTGAATGGATTCCAAACTTTCCTAAACTCTAGAAGAATTTGTAGAATTCCTTTCTCATCGTTTCTGTTGAAATGAAGGTAGAGAGCTCTGGGCAGTTGTGCTAGTCTTGGTATTTTTATGACATTTCCATAGCTGGGTTATAGTATTCTTTGTCAGCCTCAGCAAGACTGGAATCCTGTGGTTGCATCTTGGCTTAAGATTTATCTCTATTCTATGGCATAAATGAGGCAGTGTGTCTAGTGTTATGTGCATTAAGATACCTTATGCCAGGATAACCACTGCATTAGTCATGATGACAAATTTATCACAGTAAAAATAAATTTTGAAAGTCATGATCTTGGCCAAAGCAGTTCCCCTGAAAAACGTTTATTTAGGGGTTATGCTTGAGATGTCATTCTTAGGTAACCAGGTCACAACAGCTACTTCTTAGTATGTTTTAAAAATCTCTGTAAGTTGAAATTTGCATCTTCCTTTCATGTACGTCTGAAACATCTTGTTTTCCCAATGCTAGAGCTAAACCAAACCTAAAGCTCACATAGTCTGGCTCCTTTGCTTTCAGTCTGGAAGAAGATAGAAAACAGTGGCTGAACTTTTATACTCTGAAAAATAAAACTGAACAGATATTAACTTAGCCTTTCTGATGCTTTCTGACCAAAAACAAAATTTAGGTACTGTTTCCCTCCAAACTAGGGTCTAGAACACAGAACCAATATTTTGTTGATTTTAAATATGCTGTTCAAAACTGGGGAGATTTATTAGTATTAGTAGTGTTACTAAACATACCCAAGGACTATCAGAGTTATTTTAGGCCAGACTAGGAGTAAGTCCTAATGTAGTTGAAGAGTGTGTGAGAATACAGAGGGATGTTGATTCTGAAGTCTTTCCGCGAGGCAATTCTTGACAGTGTTGCCGCCAAGCTTGCTGCATTCTGAGCAGCAATTTACTGGGCTGCAAGGCTCTAGAGTCTGATTTCTCACAGTTGATCTGAAGTCCTTCTCCATCTGTGCTGCAAGTTAGCATGTTCTGAAATAAACTGTGCTTTGGCTTCATGTGAGTGGCGTTTTGAAAGGGAGTTCATGCTTTGGATTTTTGTTGCTGTTTCTACATAACAAAAAAAAAGTTTTTCTATTTTCTCACTTCAATAAGCATACATTGGTCTCAAACTGACTCCAGCGTAGCTAGAAAATACTTGGCTGGGAGAAAAAATGAGATAAAACTAAACTCGTTTGCTGTGGAGTCTGCTGTAACATGTTCAGGATAGTTTGGTACACAAAGATTCAGAATTTCTGGACTTCTGTTACGGTTATGGCAGTCATAGCTGATGTGGCTGTCAGCTGCATGCTATGTCAGGTTTTTGGTTTGTGCACATCACAGCAGTTGCAAAGGTGAGCCATCAGCTGTCACTCTAATTCTTGTGAAGGAAGAACTTATTTAAGATGGGCTGCTTTCATGGCCAAAGTATTTGGATGAACGTATCAGATCCTGCTTCTGTGTGGGGAAAAAATGACTGTGACCTCTTCTATTGTGTGATTCTACACAAGTTTTGTGAATGGCCTCAAATGCAAATGTTCAGATGTTTGCCCTGAAGACAGACCCAGGTGTACATGGTTCCTTTTTTGGGTGAAACTGTGAAAACTTTCTTCTTGACTGGTAAAAAAAAATCTGCTATATGGTTTGATTGCAGCATGAGTAACTTAAAGTTTGTGACAGCAGACCTCTCCCACAGAGAAACATAGCCTCTGCTTTGGTCTTAGTCAAGTTTGAATTTTTCCTGGTTAAGGCAGCCCTTAATTCTTACAGCACTTAGCACAGAAAATTCATGACCATATTTGAAATTGTTTGGGTCTGAGTGTCTTCCTCCAAAAGTACTTCTCTTCACATGCACTCACCTGTGCTTCTAACAGTAGTGTCAAAATAGGCCTGATGCTAAAATGGCTCAGCTTCAGCTTCCTAATTTCTGAATCCTGAGCTAGTGAGGCATGGTACAGGGGTACAGGATGCTGTCAGGGCAAATTCTTCTCCAGAGGCTGCACACTGGCCCTGTGCAGGCTGTGCTGTTGTCTCTAGCACAGCTGTTGGCTGTGGTTTGTTTAGGGCATCATGGGACCATGACACCCCCAGACATCACATGCTGAAACCTATTTTAATTTTTATTAGTTTAATATGAATTCAGAAATGAGGAAACATTCATCTAGTTGACAACTGTGTACTGATGCTGACTCTTGCTGTCTTGTAGATGCGGTATTTTTATTTCTAAAATTTCTCAATTCTGGCAAACTAGAGAGCATGTGAAGGTTTGCATTTGCAGGCACTCCTGTTATCTGTGGGGAAGTTTTTCACACCATGCAGTAGTTGTGCTAAGGAGATGGAAATCATAGAATTATTATGTCTGGAAAAGATCTTCAAGATGGAGTCTAACTACTAATCTAACACTGCTAAGTCTATACTAAACCATGTCCTTCAATACCACATCTACATGTTTTTTTTAACAGTTCCAGGGATTCCCACCACCTACCTGGGCAGCCTGTTCTGATGCTTGACCACCCTTTCAGTGAAGAATTTTTTCATAGTATCTAATCTAAGCCTCCCATGAAGCAACTTGAAGCTCTTTAATCTTGTCCCATTGCATGTTGCCTGGGAGAAGAGAGTCTACGGCCACTTCTTTGGTAGTTGTAGAAAGCAGTAAGCTCCTCCTTTTCTCTAGATTAAACAATCTTGCTCAAGATGTCTCTGTACACACCAGCTCAGGTCCAGCAGGGTATAGTCACTACTGCTGCTTAAACCCTCTTGCCTGGCTTGTGACAGCTGTGCTGGGTGCACTGAGCAGCTGCGGGTCTGAGCTGCACAGTCAGAGTCAGTGACCTTTCTCTTCCTCATGTATTTGCAAAGCTCACTTGACATTTCAATTCCTCCAGCTTATTTGTCTCTATCTATGTTGTTTTGAAGCATTACAGATTTCCCATTTTAAAGGCTGATGTTTCCAAAGCATTTACTAATTAATCAGTGGCTTTGAGCTTTCTGTATCCAAGCCATATATTGTGAGTAAAAACACGGGGAAGTCCACATCTGCCTGAGATTGCTGAGGTGGTAACTGAATATGACAGCAGCTGTGCTGCTGGCGGACAAGTGCAGCCTGGCTGAGCAGAGCTCCTGTGCACTGCAACAGACAAGAATGAATGATGAGTGCCAACAAACTTCTTGTGAAATAAGAGGGTCAGAAGTCAGTGTAAGGAATCATATGGTGAAGATGGGGGGCCTTGGACAGTTAGAAGGAAGATGAGAGCTTTTTTTGAGCTTGTAGATCCAGAAGAGCTGAAATGTTACTCCATCTGCTGAGGGGCTCGTTGAGAGATGGCAGAGACCAAGGCAGTGAGCTTTTTTGAGAGGGAAATGGCATAAGAAGAACCACCTACATAAGCTGTATAATTCTTCCTTCTGTTTATGTCAAGGAATTGAATTAAGTTCCTGGTTTTCTTCTGTTGCACTGATGAAACCACAGATGAAACTTGAGAGCATATCATTCAGGTTGGAAGGGACCTCTTGAGATCTTCTAAACTTTCTGCTCAAGCACAGTTAGATAGAGCAGGTTGCCCAAGAACATTTCCAGTTGGGTTTTGAATGTCTGTGCAGGTGGAGACTCTGCAGGACTTCACAGCCTCTCTGAACAACCTGTTCAAGTTGTCTGACCACCCTCAAGAGTAGCAAAACGTTTTCTTGTGTTCAGATGGAACTTCATGCATTTTAGTTCGTGCGCATTGCCTCTTTTCCTGTCGGTGGGCACTAAGGAAGTAAATCTGGCTCCTTCTTTTTCATTTCCTCCTGTCTTATCAATATAAGAGTCCCCTGGGTCGTCTTTTCTCCAGGCTTTTCTTTGCTCCAGCTCTTGCAGCCTCTCCTCTTATGAAAGGTGCTGTGGTTCCTTAATCATCTTTATGGTCCTGTGCTGGACTCAAGCTGTAAAGATAAAGCAATCTTAGAATAAGCTACTCAGAATTTAAGGTCACGTTGGACAGATGTTCTCAACTGTTTCTCAGATAGGTGAAGTTGTAGTACATGTGAGATTCCCTTCAGCTTTATGCTTCTGTGATTGATTGCTTACTTTTGCTAATTTAGTTGCCATTTAGGGCTAGAGACCTAAATGCGCAATGTCTTTTAAAGTTTGGCAGGAACTGCCATGTAGTGTTTACTTCTGGATCTCAGGGTTCTGTGGAGGAATATGTTCCTAGTAGTTCTCTCTCAGCTAATTACACCCAACATTGACTTCTGCCAGCTTATTGAAGTGGCCTTGAAGATATGAGGTGGTAGCACGCATTCTCTCTCCCTCCTCTTTGAAGAGGTAAAATTAAGTGAATTCTTAAAA